CCCCAGGGAAATGGCTCCGCTCGTTCCGAACGTTACATACATGTGTAGGCACATCGACGTTATAGATATGAAAAAAAAGCGTTTACAAATGAAACGAAGCAAAAGTCTCGTGAGTTATTACACGATTAACGTATAATTAAATATGCGCTTCGAGACTGATACGGTTGCGAGCGATAACTTTTTATTGCCGTTAAGCAGAACTTTTTCATTTTATCTCTCGCGAGAGTTGAATTCTTGTCAACATCGTGAGGCACGGAAATTACTATAAGTTATATAAAGTGACACGCTTTTACTGTACAGTTTAAGAGACGTTTGAAATACTCTTGGGACTGACGGAATTTACATATCTTCCCGGAAGTTAAGGAAGTAGGACTTAGTCGCGGACGAACCGTTGAATCGTAGTTGTACACGCAACTCTTGCCTTCCGACAACAATGAAGTTAAAAGTTTAAGACGAATACGTACATCGTTCCCAAGGCGTCGTGACTTTTTGCAACATACATACGGTGACTCTTATTATGGGACACTAACTATTGAAAACTATTATAATTTTGCAAATATAAAGGAAATCGTACAATAGGAAATTTGGACCTCTTTTAAAGCTTGAAGCTCTCTACTTTCAAAATACATCGTTCATTTTATTTTAAAAAGTTTTCACACTATACAGCAGATAGTAAAATGAAGACCCTTCTCTTCTCGAAAATTCTACAAACTGTCACAGTGAGTAGAAACATTGAACAATTTTTTTTTTTTATGATTGTATAAATACTTCGTATAAACGTAATATTCAATAAAATAAATTATACGTCAAATTTTTGGAAGTCGTTGTAAAAGGGAGGCTTCAGTCTTCAAATCCATCTTAGATTTGAAAAAGATTTCTCAATTTTCTTACATACTATGACTATTTATAGCATTTTTTTTTTTTTTTTTTTAGAAGAAAAATATCTTCACTCATTCGTCCGCTGCGCGATGCAAAAGCAGTTTAGAATGAAATGAACAATGCTTTTCGAAAGTACGCTTCAAACTTTAAAATGGGTCCAGCTTCATTGTTGTACGACTTTTGTTTACAAAAGTATAACAGTTTGAATATATAGCGTTCGAATATTAATGAAAATCACTGACTAGTTAAACATTCGCTTGGCATGAACACAATGCGAATTTTCTCTCTGTTCCTCGGTGTACTTATCGCATGCAACGCAAAGTAATCCTAAGAGATCCCCAAAAATACAATGTGTATCCCCAGCAATATCATTGATCATTCAACACTAAACGCACTTAGAATAGATTAATGCCGGTTGATCCTGCGCGCCATTTGGGAATTCGGGAAACACGAAGAAGTTGCTTTTCGGGATGACGAAGGCAAGCCATGAGGTGATATTTCCCCAGGGAACAACTTCTTCTCGTGGCTAAATCGATAACGTAAATTTCTTACGACACCCTAATACTTCCCTTTGCGATGCTTTACCACGAGGTTTCTAATAAAACTATGTAATTCTTTTAATTAATAGCACAAACGGGAATAACAAACTACATGTAAAACAGAGAACGGAGGAAAACAGGTTGAAAGCTCCTCGCTGCGTAAACTCGTTGAGCTTTTCACAGAAGAAATTGAAATTAGAATATGAATGAACATAATTAGCACATGTGTATAGATCATAATGGTACAGGCTGCTCTAAATAAATATTACAAGCCATTTTCTCGGGAATCATTTAGCATTTATCGGCTGATTGTTTTAAGCGGTTATTAATAAGACATGATATGACTCAGTCTACTTTTTCAAATTATTTCTTCCCGATTTATTTTTTACATAGAGTCACCCTCTCCTCGTCCGCTGGGACACTCTGTATAATAAATGTTTATCATACAATGTGTGTAATGAATACCGGTTTTATAGAAAATGGCACGGTACACATTACATTAGAAAAAAGGAAGGAAAGAGATGAAGAAATGATGTCCTCTCGTATGGTACGCAAGCTCTAGATTTCAAGTTTCATCCGTCAGTTATCGTCGTCAGGCTAGCGCTCGTTAATCGAGGCAGCTGATGTCGGTGTAATCGCGCTGGTGACCGAAGTGTAAAGTCCCGAGTGATATTGTTGTGATATCGGCAACACGTTAGGCATACATTGGCGTGACAGATGTGAGTGTGACCGGTAGATAGCCGAGATTTAATTAAAACGTGCTCTGCGCCGTCTACGATGGCAAACAATCGTGAAATCGTTTCGCATCAGGTGGCGTTTCGAAAAAACAATAGGTTTTGTTTAGATTGACGGGCAACAGATCCGTTAAGCTTCGCGACCAAACGGAATTACTCGATTTCCGTTTATATATCCTTTTCGTCAACATCTCTTTTTCTTCCCTTCCTTTTCTCTCTCACTTTTTCCACACGATTTTTCCGTGTTTCTGCGAATCGATTACAACTCTCCGACTAATTCTATCATTACGGTCTGTTCGATCATCTTTGAAATTTTGCCACTTAAATCCGACGAGTAAATTACGATATCCCGGCTGGCTTAATTACACTGAATTGCATGGATAAATTTAACGACTAGTGAAAGCAGTAAGAGCAATTTGCTTTGCGTATTACAGCTAACCACTTTTTTTGCTCCTGCTACGTTCTAACGATGCTCGATTTGCGTTGTAGCTCGAATATCTCCACATCAAGATCCTTGACCGACTCTTAATTATTTATTACGACTGTAGCAGAGCGCGATTTTTCATCCAACATAAATATCCGCACGATTTAAATCGTGTTTCTAAACGAAAGGCGGTCATAATGTACAAAAGATCACAACTATCTCAACTACTTTGTCATAAATTACAGAGGAAACGAGTAGCTGTCTAGTTAGTCGTTTACATCTTTTCTCGAAAAACAGTTTTGATTTCAAAGCCGACAGCGAAGACAAAACGAAGCTTCCCTCATCAACATTTCTGAGAATATACGAGAATGAAAAACGAGGTTAATATCGAAAATGGAAATTTAATCAAAATTATTCACTGCTTTTCTTTCTAAGAAAACTAATGAAAGAAGTGACAAATTACTCGCGTTAAGACAGCTATATCTCTGTCTGATACTCTCGATATATATCACAGCTGTGTTTTCAAGCCACTGCTAACGACTGTTCGGAATTTCGCAATTGTTTTTCAGTTCTTACTATCTCCGTTGAAATTAAAGTACCCGCAAGACTTGGTACATCGCTATCGAAACAAAGCCATTTATATAAAAGCTTCTTAAGCACGTAAAACTTGAAAAGTACGTCTCAATATAAAAACGAATAATATACAATGATCTGTGTAATTTGATCACCTCGAATAGCTTTGTACAATAATTAGTATTTAGACAATTAGGTATGCGTTGTATAAAAAAACTTTTTATGCAAAAGTTGCATGATTTGAAGAAGCACATATGTATATATATATATATATATATATATATATATATATATTTTTTTGTAAATAGTGTAAATATTTAGAGATTTCAAGATCATCTCCATTTTTTTAAACGAATAATATATTTTTTGATTCATTAATCGATGCAATTTGATATTAGAAGTACTAATCTATCTATGTCGAAAAATCATTAATTTAGGAAATATTTTAACGATAATTAAATGAACGTCCTCACGGATTTCAATGATTTTGAAATGTGTTATCTGAGAGCATGATTCTGAACAACTTTTCCCTGTACATGTTATTACATGTTATTACATGCTCGAGTTTAGTTTCGGAGATATTCGTAAAAATATTTTTATCGCTCTATATATATATCGTATCTCTAATGTTTGGAATATATTTGTACTAATTAAAATTATCAATACTGGCTTGGATTGAGGTAGACTTTAACAAAATATAAAATTTAAATAAAAGAGGATAGAATTATTCAGTTGTCAATCATAAGACAAATTTTGTTGATCTACACACAAAATATAGGAAACTGACGAGCAAACACATCCACGAAAAACATATTATGTAAGTTACATTGTAAGCTGAATTTTTGTTTCGATAACAATGTAATTAATAGCTGAATTTTAACATTATAATTGAAATATTCCCAATTTCAAATTACGATATTGTAATATAATATTTGATAGGAATTGTAGTTATTATTTAATAACTTGGAAAAAACGTCATTATATAACGGATATTTTATACTTTGTTAAAGTCATAACTTTATAATCATATATTGATAGTTTTAATTAAGGCATATTTCGAAAGAAAGATAAGATATAAAGTGATAAAAATATTTTTGTAAATATTTTTTTGAATAAAGTGATAAAAATATTTTTGTAAATATCTTGGAAACAAAAACTAAACGGCGGTAAGATGTAGAGGGAAAAGTTGTTCAGAATCATGCTCTTGATAACATATTTCAAAGTCATCAAAATCAATGAGATCGTTCGCTTTGTAAATAATTTTAACTATTTTAACTTTAATTTCATGAAAGAGAAAAATAATATGAATAAAAAAATACTAAGTTTTTTTCATCGGTACATTTTACAAAATTAATATTAAAATATCTCCTAATAATCTTTCGACATACTTATGTAGATTAATACTTTTTTATAATTTTTAGAATATCGAGTTGCATCTATTAATGATGAAAAAATACCATTACATTTAAAAAAAAAAATGGGAATAATTTTGAAATCTTTGAAACACTTCCACTTATAAAAAAATTTTGTATAAAAAATTTTTTCATACAACGCATATCTTAGAAGTGATCAAATGAACTACACGCAGACTACTCTGCATATATATGTTTTCCCTCGATTTTCCTAGACTTGGAAGGTGAAATTTAGCCACGTTACACGCAATCGTAAAATGAAATCCTAAATTGCTACTTGCCGCAGAATGCGGATGAAAAGTTACGATCGTATCGCGACAATACAGAAATCATGGCGGAACAGAACGGAGGATTAATCAACGAAGGCTAATGTCTCGGAAAATAGGAACGTGTCGAGAAGGTCTCAAGGTTGTATATATAACTACTACTAACGAAATCGATGATCAGTTTGAATACATGCAGTGTGCGTAGTTTGTTGCCACACAGCAATTCTGTAACAAGCCCTTTGACGATAATTCGGAAATTCAATCGACAGCAAGCACTTGCAGGCGGACCCGTAAACACGTTAGCATAACGTATGAAAAGGCGTCACACGAGAAATGTTTAATAAACAGAATGTACACTGTCGGTGAAAGTTTCTCTGTAAATAGCAAGGAAATTTCCTCGTTTTATCGTTTTATCTTAAATGCAATTTACTTAGTGATTTATTCGATCGTAGCGGGAGCCGACTTTCGATGAATTTTTTATTCGATCGTCAGATGCATCAAACGCACTACCAGCGATATCGGGGAAAAGAAATTTAGGTCGAGTCGATCCAAGCGATTTCGTTTTATTAATTTCGCGTTGGCAAACAGAAAAGAAAGGTAACTCGAAGCCGAATGTATATGAAGTCAGTAAATTTTCTGCCAAGAGGGGGAAAAAAAAAAAAAAACACCGTCAGAGCCAACAATTTTATCACTTTCCCCGAGGGAAAGATAGAATTTCTACCGAGTTCTCGGTCATATTTTCTAACTGTTCGTTTTATATTCACAACGTGTCTCTCAGTATCAAATCGACTACAAATAAACCACGTTATCGGATGGAAAGTCAAGATATAAGGTAACTTACAACATGCGCTTAACACTAAACGTACCAAGCGGGGTCAAATGACCCGTTTTCAAAATTTAC